GGTTATAGTAATGAAAAAATTAATACATAGGTTCTGAAGATTATCAGGATGTGCACATATATTTGTGTTTTTTTTTTGAAGGGGGCACCATTCTGTTCTCTACACTAGTGTCATTACTAATGAGCTGAGTAAAATAGAAAAACAAAAATCCTTAAAACTCTTCAAGATCACAGCTTGTTTCTTAAATTTCAGTCCAAATGAAGATAAGCAAAACAACACATGATTCCTCAGTGTTATGTAAAGAATTGCTATTCTATCCAGTTTTTGAATCAAATATTTTACATACATAAAACATATCCATATACTCAATTCCTATGATTTTTTTTCCCCCATTTTATTCAAAATACTTAAAAATCTATTTGAAAAAGGGAGCTTGTCCATCTGTTGGTTTATTTCAGCTGGGACTGGGCCAGGCAGAAGCTAGCAACTAAATCTGCGTGGATGGCAAAGAGCCAACTACCTGATATCAACTGCTGCCTTCCAAGGAAGCTGGGATTAGCGAGAGAGCCAGGAATTGAGCTTGGGCACTGCAATATGGGATGTGGGCATCTTAACTGCTGTGTCAAATGCCCATCTGTCCTCCCCACCTTTTAGAAGAACCAATTGATAACAGAATAAAAAAAAATTAGAACAATTAAAAATGGAACTAAAAGTTGTTCTTTTTGTTACATAAGAATTTTGAAATCCATGCAGTTTTTGTAATATGCCTTTGCTATGAAATTTTTTTCCTGTTCATTTGATATTATGGATGGTGAGAAAGAGAGCAGGTTCCCATCTGTTAGTTCACTCCCTAAATGTCCACAACAGCTGGGAAATGGCAGGGGGCAGGTGGCAAAGACAAGAGTTAGGAAGTCAATCCAAGTGTTTGCTGCTGGTGGCAGGAACCCAATCACTTGAGCTATCATGGCTTCCTCCTAGGGTCTGTATTAATGGGAAGCTGGAAACCCAGGTACTCTAACGTGAGACATCGGAGTCCTAACTGATGCCTGAATTGCTTGGTCATATACCCACCTCTCAACCAACTTTGCAGAGAACTTCTGTCTAACTGAAGGACACTGTATTTTCTTTTTTTTTTAAAGATTTATTTTTATTATTTTTTCATTGGAAAGGCGGATATACAGAGAGGAGAGACAGAGAGGAAGATCTTCCGTCCGATGATTCACTCCCCAAGTGAGCGCAATGGCCGATACTATGCCGATCCGAAGCCAGGAGCCACTTCTGGGTCTCCCACGCGGGTGCAGGTTCCCAAAGCTTTGGGCCGTCCTCAGCTGCTTTCCCAGGCCACAAGCAGGGAGCTGGAAGGGAAGCGGGGCTGCCGGGATTAGAACCGGCGCCCATATGGGATCCCGGGCGTGAAGGTGAGGACCTTTAACCACTTGCGCCACCGCTCCGGGCCCAGACACTGTATTTTCTTCCCGTTTATTTCTCCCTCTCTTGAGTGACTATCTAGTATTCAATGTTCAAATGAATTAAAAAAAAATTTATCCAGTCATTTGAAAGGTGCACAAACACACACTCTTACCTACTATCTGTCTATTGAGATCTATCCACTGTTTAAATTCCCCAAAGCCTACAATGGCCAGGCCACGCTGTGGGTCAGGAACTCTCTGCATGTCTCTCACGTAGGTGGCAGGAAGCTAACCACTGAGCCATGCTGCCTCCCATGTGTGCATTAGCAGGAAGCTACACTCTGGAGTTGAGCTGGAATTGAAATGTAGGAATTCCCATAGAGGACAGTGGTGTCCCAACTGGCATGGCAAGCACTATGCCAAATGTCTTTTGCCCCAAAGGGAAATTTAAAAAAACTAGTTTTAAATATATAATAGTTATCACAGTACAATGCATTTATCGGAATGCCATGTGTAAATGTCTTTATATTTATGATAATGATATACTTATTTGGTGCCTTATATTTTTCTTATTGTTATATTTTCAGAGTCATTAATGTTGACAAATCTGTAATTTGGTTCAATGGTTTTCAAACTAGGCTACAAACCATTAGTGACTCAAAAACAATTTAGGTTAGAAACTTAATGGGCTTAGTTTAAGTATTATTTTGTGAAAACCATTCTCAGTACACACATATGGATATGTACTACTGTCAGCAAAACCAACTCACAAGTTTTCTACAGAAGATTTAAGATCTTACTAAGGTACTAGAAAGGCTGCCCATTTGAGATTTTCAAAAACATGAGCAATGAAACATTAGTGAAAAGGAACTGAACTGCTTATAAAGCAGGGCACTAGAGAACACAGGTTGGAAGTCACTAATTTTTGATACTTAGGAACAAAAAAATCAATGCCCAGAGAATTTTCCCAGATCAGACATTCAGCAATTTTATTTGGCTCCAAGACAAAAATGGCATATTACAACAACAAAAAAAATAGTTTGATATTCTATATAGTTTTGACACCTTGATAACATTCCCCCCCCCCCCCATTTTAAATACCTGACTCATTCCTTAATATAGTATATTCACTTAGTAGGTTGTTGCACTGTAAAACAAGGCCTTTCCTTTAGAAAAATGGCAAGGTCCTGACATCAACCAAGAGTGTACAAGTAATTATTGGAACCATTTTCTTTCTTAAGTCCTTTTAGTCAGGCTATAATCTCTTTGCTTTTCAAGTGAAACAGATAACTAAAAATTTATTTGGTTAACTTAGCAGGTCTTTATACGACCCAAATTATTTGAGTTATACATCAAGGCTTTTTCTGAGGAAACAGCTGCTCTGAATTAGCTGCTGCTTTTATGGGGGTGGTAGCAGATAAAACATAGTTCATTATTTTCAGTAACAAAATAAATTGAGGCACCTGAGTGTCCCCATGTAAGCCTCTTTTTTTTTTTTTTACTGCTGATACTGAAGAGCTTTCAAGAAACTGTCCTTTTAAATTTTAGGAAAGAACTTTAGGCATCCCCCACCTCTCTTTTTAAAAAAAGATTTATTATTTTTTTTTTTATTGGAAAGGCAGATATACAGAGAGGAGGAGAGACAGAGAGGAAGATCTTCCGTCTGATGGTTCACTCCCCAAGCGGCCATGTGGCCCGGAGCTGAGCGATCCAAAACCAGGAGCCCAGAGCCTCTTCTGGGTTTCCCAGGTGAGTGCAAGGTCCCAAGGCTTTGGGTCTTTCTGCACTGCCTTCCCAGGCCACAAGCAGGGAGCTGCATGGGAAACTGGGGCCCATATGGGATCCTGGGCATTCAAGGCAAAGACTTTAGCCGCTAGGCTATCACGTCCCCCTGCCCCTTAATAGTTTTGTAAGAATGAAAGGTGTTTAGAAATTTAGTGATATTCCTCTTCAGGAGTTAGAAAAAGTGAGCTAAAAATTAGGGAGCATGCCCTATGCTACTTGTTATTTTTATTTTTAATTTTTATTGGAAAGGCGGATATACAGAGAGGAGAGACAGAGAGGAAGACCCCAGGCGGCCGCAACAGCTGGAGCTGAGCCAGTCTGAAGCCAGGAGCTTCTTCCAGGTCTCCCACGCGGGTGCAGGGTCCCAAAGCTTTGGGCCGTCCTCGACTGCTTTCCCAGGCCACAGGCAGGGAGCTGGATGGGAAGCGGGGCTGGCGGGATTAGAACCATATGGGATCCCGGGTGTGCAAGGTGACGACCTTAACCACTGCGCCACCGCGCCGGGCCCCCTATGCTTTTTTAAAAAAAATTATTTTATGATAGTTGCACAGGCTCTGAGATTTCCCCTCCCCTAACTGATTTCCCCTTATTACAATGTATGGTCCTTCAAGAACAGTCATAAATTCATCATTTCGCTATTTAAGTGTATCCTGACATTGCAGGTATGGACAATGGTAGAGATTTCAGTGTCCTGTTGTCAGGATATACTTAAGTTTCATTGGGAGTTTATCTTTAATTTGGATGTAGGGATGCATACTGTCTTCACACCCGGATATGACAGTCTGTTATACTTTTACTATACATTCGCTTAAATAAAAAGCCAGAAAAGAAAACTTACAACAGGAAGAAAAAGAGTAAACTTACAGCAGCTTGAAGTTAAATAACATGCTACAGAATGACTAATGTGTCGCTAAAGTGATGAAAATCAAAACCCTTCTTGAAGGAAACGATGCTATTGCAGATCCATATGGCAATAAAGAAATCAATAAGAAAAATAAAAAAGAAAAAACCTTTTGCGAAGAAATGAGAGTAAAAACAAAAACGTCAAAACTCATGTCTGTGACAGTTTTAAGCCCTGTGTCAGGTGTTGGAGTTTGACCTCGTTAGTTTGCCAGAATATTTTACACCCAGAACGGAATTCATTTCTTGTCGGCGTTTTTATCCCTGCCCCCGTGTCCAGGATCCTGATTTTGATAATTTCCGTGCTTTTCTGCTCCACCACCTTCTCCTCCGCCGCCCATCAGTTAACGGGGAATATTTCCCCACGGTGTGAGAGTTAATGCACGTGAAAGAGCTAAGGCCAAGTTAGCTCCAAGTAGGGTTTATAAGGGCAGGCTCAGGCGCTGGTCCGCCCAACCTGGCTTTTCATCCCCGCTCCCTCCCGCAAGTAAACCTTGGATCTCCCCACCTGCGCGGCCTACCGCCACGGAACCCAGGTTTCTCCTCCGAATCCTTCCAGTCCTCAAGACAAACAAGCTCCAGGAACCCTTCCGCCTCGGAACCGTCCCACCCTGACCTGACCAGGCGGGCCCCTTCCAAGCCCCGGTCACTCCCTTCTTCGGAACGCCACTTCCGGGTCAGTGGTGTCTCCACTTTACCGGTCCTCCCCCCATTACACCGGGCATTTCGCAGAGCTTTGCGTTATCCGGGAAACCGGTGCCCAGGATTAGAGGAGCGCCAGGCTTCTCCGGGAGAATGCGTCGAGTGTCTTCCTCAGGCTGAGGGAGCCCACTTGGGCGGCGAGGTCGGGCGGTGGCGGTGGAGGGACAGTTTGTTTTGAGCACCGCGCGCCGCACACCCGGAAGTGGCGCGGGCCGGGGAGCGGTGCCGCTCTGCCGCCAGGGGCGGGTCCAGGTACGAGGTAGTGGAAGGAGGCCCTGGTCGTCTTCGGCGTGGATGTCAGCGGAACGGGGAGTGCGGAGGCGGCGGCCCATGCGGGCCTGGCTCTAGCGAAGCTGTGTTTCTGCCTTGGTAGTTCTGGCCAGGTTCCGGGAGGCGAGGGCCTGGCGGGGTGGCCGCGGCACCCACACGGGAGAATACCTCGCCTTCTCCCAGCCCCGGAGCACCTGCTTGCCAGAGGTCTGCAGCCTCCTCCCTCCCCTCTGCGGGCCAGGTGAGGGTGGTTGTTCTAGTGAGGGAGTCGTGGCTCTGCCGTCTGGAGACCGCTTGGAGTAAGAGCAGCAGATTGGGTTTTTCCTGCTTCGCCTCACCGCTGACGGCTAACTTTTCTGTCCTCCCTTCAGCTTCTGGCTTTGACTCCCAGCCTTAAAATATGCTGGAGTCCTATGTCACTCCGATTCTCCTGAGCTATGTGAATCGCTACATCAAGAACTTGAAGCCGTCCGATCTGCAGCTTTCACTATGGGGCGGAGATGTGGTGCTAAGCAAGCTCGAATTAAAGTTAGATGTGCTGGAACAGGTAAGCTGTGTTCGTTGGCCTTGACGGGCTATACTTTTAATCTGTTGGAGTTGGAATCCGTCTCCTTGTCTTTGGCTTTGTATTGGAATAGAGTGATTTGATAATTTTCCACCTGCTAGTGTCTTCTGGGGGACCCGGAAACTAGACTAGCTTTCAAGAGTTTTAAGAGATGTTTTATTACAGTAGGCACTGCAAAGGTTTCCTGGGTGAAAAGGACTCAGTTTTATTGTTTCTTGTCGGAATTGTTCAGCCTCCATTCTCCAGGGTCACCGAATATGCCCAGGATCATTGGCGAAGGCATGTGTGAAGGTGGAGGATGAAACGTTTATGTCTTCTGTTTGGGGCACAGTGGAAGGGTCTGAAAGAGAGCAAGGGCAACTCTTGTGGAAAGTTCTGTGTCTTTCGGAGGGAAGGATATTGTTGCCATCCTTAGAGTATTGAAGAATGGCAGTAAAACTGGACATTTCTCTAATTGCTTTTTAGTTTCTAACATGGAAACAGTCTGATACAAATGAGCCATTACTTTGAATTTCATTTATTTAGTACCTTTATTAGAAACAGATGTTAAGTAATTCTAACTATTAAGGAGGGAATATACCTGTGGAAGCTCAGAAGCTTGACGTTTTAGGAGATGAAAGGGGGAACTTAACCTGAAGGTCATTGTTACCAGTGGTCTTGAGTTCTATTCGCGTTCCTTCTCTATGACTGATGGATCTGGAGTTAACATTGAGTATTCTTAGAGCCTTTCCCATTCTCTCTCCAAGGTTAGTTGCTGCCTTAATAATTTGATTTTACCCTAAGTTAACACAGATCCTGAATATAACAATGCAGTTTGTAGATGTGTATACACCTGTGCAACTGCTATCTAGATGGAGACAATATTTTTCTGAAGATAACCACTGTAATTAAACACCTGCTTGTAAAGAGATGATGACTAATCTGACTTCTGGCAGCGTAGATCAGCATGACTTGTTCTTGAGCCTGTAGTGCATTGAAATCACTTGTGTAGAGCTTCTGGCATTCACTTGGCTAACAGCTTGAGATTAACCTATGTTGGATGAAAATTAGCTTGCCTTTTGTGTTGCCCTGTGAAGAGTCACAGTTCAGATGGCGTTGTGGGACAGTAAGGGCCGGTTCATGTCCTGACTGGTTGGTTGGGATCCAGCATCCTGTTGATGGAACTGTTCTTGGAGGCAGCCGATGATAGCTCAGGTGTTCTGGTTTCTTCCCCCCTTGTGGGAGACACAGGTGAAGTTCCTAGCTCTTGGCCTCAGCCTGGCCCATTCCTGCACATTGTGAGCATCTGGTGGGGTAGACCAGTAGAAAGATCTGTTCTTTCCCTTTCTCACTTTGCCTTTCAAATGCTAATAAATCAACCTTTTTAAAAAATCGACAATTTACTTACTTATTCCCCTATTAATGACCTTGACTTGTTCATACAGTAGATGATGGTGTTCATGTGAGATGAGGATGGAGTTCTGGGCTCCTGGTTTACCCTGCCCTTTTGTGGATGTTACAGACACTGTGCTATGGCATGCAAGTGTCCCAAGTGGTAATTGAACTGCTGTGTCTCATGTGCCCTCTCTGGCATTTTCTATGAAAGCTAAAGATGCCTACCTCTTATGTAACTTCCTGAGAAAATTATTACTTATGCCCATTAAAATACATGTAAAAGAATATTCATAAACAATTCATTATAACTAGAAGTATAAACCTTGGGAGTAGGTGTTTAGTAGTTGAAGTCATTTCCTGCCTCGGCTATTGTGGGAGAGTGAAGCAGCAGATGAAGGATTTCTCTGACACGTTCTCTTCCTTTCAAGTAACATGAAGTAAATAATGGTTTAAAAAAAAAATAGCCACTTGGCAGTCACATTGGGCCAACGCCCCACCTTGTATCTACGGGGATTCCATATGGGCACCTGTTTATATCCCAGGTGCTTCACTTCCCATCCAGCTCCCTGCTGTGACCTGGGAAAACCGTGGAGGTTGGCCTGAGGCCTTGGGACACTGCACTTGCCTGGGAGACCCTGAAGAAGCTCCTGGCTCCAGATTGACTCAGCTCTGACCATTGTGGCCACTTGGAGTGAGCCAGCAGATGGAAGATCTTTATGTATCCCCTTTCTGTATATCTGCCTTTCAGTAAGAATAAAAATAAAAATAAATCTTAAAGATACTGGCAAAATTCTTTGACAATACCAGTGTACAAGCTCACCAATAGTGCATAAGTTCTAGTTACTTTACATTTTTGCCTCCTTTTGGTATGTTTGTTATTTTAATTTTAGCCTCTGGTTAGTGTGTAGTTACAGCTCATTGTAATTTCAGTTTGTATTTCTGGAAAAATTCACATTTTTCTAGAAGCTTATTTTTTTTTTAAGATTTATTTTTATTATTTTTTTATTGGAAAGGCGGATATACGGAGAGGAGAGACAGAGAGGAAGATCTTCCGTCCGATGATTCACTCCCCAAGTGAGCGCAATGGCCGGTGCTATGCCGATCCGAAGCCAGGAGGCTCTTCCAGGTCTCCCACGTGGGTGCAGGGTCCCAAAGCTCTGGGCCGTCCTCAACTGCTTTCCCAGGCCACAGGCAGAGAGCTGGAAGGGAAGTGGGGCCACCGGGATTAGAACCGGCGCCCATGTGGGATCCCGGGGCGTGCAAGGCGAGGACCTTAACCACTTGTGCCACCACGCCGGGCCCTCTAGAAGCTTATTGATCAATTGAATGCTCTCATTTGTAACTTAAATCTTTTGCCTGTATTTATTTTTAAAGATTTATTTTATCTTTATTACAAAGTCAGATATACAGAGAGGAGGAGCGATTGAGAGGAAGTGGAGCTACCAGGATTAGAACCAGCGACCATATGGGATTGCGGTGTAATCAAGGCGAGGACCTTAGCCATAGGCCACGCCGTTGGGCCCACCCTTTTTTTGTAATTTTGCCTTAAAAATAAAATTTTTAAAGGGAGAGAGACTGAGATCGAGAGACATCTTATCCACTGGTTCACTCCCAAAATGGCTTGGGCTGGGCCAGGCCAAAGCCAAGAACCAGGAGATTGTTCCAGTTCTTCCATGTGTGTGCAGGAACCCAAGTGCTTGGGCCGTCTTCCACTGCTTTCCAGCTGTATTAGCAAGGAGCTGGATCAGAAGTGAAGTAGCTAGAACTTGAAATGCTGCGAATGAGAAGCTGGCACTGCAGGTGGTGGTTTAACTGACTATGTCATAGCAGTGGTTCCCTCACACCCAATTAAAAAAGAAGTATTAGAAAAGCAGATTGGATTTACATTGAAAAGGAGAGACAGAAAGATCCTCCACCTTCTTTTTAAAGATTTATTTTTATTGCAAAGTCAGATCTATATAGAAGAGGAGAGATGGAGAAAGATCTTCCGTCCAATAATTCACTCCCCAAGTGAGTGCAATGGCCGGCGCTTCGCCAATCTGAAAGCCAGGAGCTCTTCCGTGTCTCCCACGCAGTTGCAGGTGCAGGTTCCCAAGGCTTTGGGCCATCCTCGACTGCTTTCCCAGGCTACAAGCAGGGAGCTGGATGGGAAGTGGAGCTGCTGGGATTAGAACTGGTGCCTGTATGGGATCTCGGTGTTTTCCAGGTGAGGACTTAAGCTGCTAGGCCACGCCACCAGGCCTGCTTCTCCACCTCTTAGTTCACTGCCTAAATGGCTGCAATGGCTGGAGCTGAACTGAATCAATGCAGGAGCCAGGGGTCTTTCTTGGATTATCTGTATCATGTTATATACAATTAGTGACAATTTTTTACCTTTCTGTACCATGCTTGGATTTTTAAAATTTAAATATTTATTCTTGTTGGAAAGGCAAAGTTAGAAGGAGATACAAAGATAGTTCTTCTGCTGGCTCATTACCCAAATAGGCACAATGGCTGGAGCTGAGCCGATCTAGAGCCAGGAGCCTTTCTGGATCTCCCACTTGGGCTCAGGGTCCCAAGGCTTTGGGCCATCCTCTGCTGTTCTGCCAGGTCAACAGCAAGAACTAGATGGGAGGCGAGCAGCTGGGACACGAACTACTGCCCAACTGGGATCCTGGTGCTTGAAGAGGGAAGATTAGACAATCAAGCCATTGCACTGGGCCCGAAGATTTATTTTTTGAAATGTGAGAGTTGTAGCGAGTGAGACAGAGTCAGGTTGTCCGTATGCTGGTTCAATTTGCACATGACCTCAACAGCCGTGACTAATGCAAGAAATTGGGTTTTCTCTTATTGAAGTGTAAGTTCCTTACCAAATTATGGCTCAGTTGATGGCTTATTTTACTCTCTTCAAAGTATCTTTGTGAACAGAAGGTTATAATTTTATTGAGGTACAATTTTCTAGTCTTCTGTAGTTAGGCCTGTGTTGATCAAGCAATACTTGGGTTTCTAACTTGTTTAACATGTTTTGGTAGGTTTGGATTACCTATGTACACTGCGATGTCCACAAATAGTAATGATTTTCTACCTTTCTGTACAAGGCTTAGATCTTCAATTTCTTTAAAGATTTTTATTGGAAAGGCTGATTTACATAGAGAAGGGAAGACAGGATGATCTTCTGTCTACTGGTTTACTCCTGGAGTGGTTGCAATGTCTGGAGCTGAGGCAATCTAGAGCCAGGAGCCTCTTTTGAGTCTCCCATATGGGTACAGGGTCTCAAGGCCTTGGACTGTCCTCCGTTGGTTTCCCGGATCACAAGCAGGCAGACAGATGGGAAGTGGAACAGCTGGAGCTAGAATCGGTTCCCATGAACCGCTGCCCATATGATATGCTAATGTTTGAAGGGTAGAGGATTAATTTGTTAAGTACAGAACAGGTGGCTGTATCTTTAATTTCTATTTAAAAATTTTTTATTAATATAGAGAACATTTTGTGCATTCCATATGTATAGTTCCCAGATGACCCCACTTCGTTTACTCCTCTGCTGTCCTTTTGATCTTCGTACCTCCTCTCTCCTTGTCAGTTTTTGCAAGGACATAATTTTAATCCTTTTAAAAAATATTTTTTGTAAA